TGACGGACATATCACTATTAGTATCATGCTCATTGTCCAACAATTGGCATTCAGTAGGCACCTAATATTTCCGTCATGTCCTATGTAAGGCCATGGTGTAGTTGTTGAGCGATTTCTCCTCGTGGTCACACCTGGACTGCGGTTAAGAAGAATTGACCGCAACATGTGGCAGCTTTTAAAAGTACATGGTGCCCCACATAAAGTTGTTTGCATTTGCAAGGGACACACTACATGATACATGACAAGACAGCAGTGATAGCCTTATTCCTTGGAGAATAACCAAGAGAATGGAGATATGGCTGCTTTAATATTTCAGCAACATGCCTTTATCGAAACAATGACAGAACTGAATTACAAATTGCCTGCCAATGATCTTACTCGATTTTTCAGTTTTTCTTCAAACGGCGAGCCACATTTACAGGACATCAACATTCAGGGGATTAAACAGGGAGCAATTGCTAGCCACTACCACGATACAGGACGTATCTAACCAGGAATTGGAACACGCGATAATACGTGTACATGCAAACAAACTGATGTAAAAAGGCGTCACGAATCACGCTTCGTTCAAGCATACAAGCGAGTTGAAGTAAACAGGCATCACACATCACGCATCAGTTATACCTGTACACGATATTAATTAAACAGGCATCGCGCATCACGCGTCAGGCATCACTTATATGTGCAAGCGATTTGAAGCTAGCACACATCGCACATCAAAGCACACATCACGTTCGCATAATCGGTCATGATGACCCCCGTACATTAAGGTTTGGTCGCCGACTTCTTATAAGAATAGTTCACTTATTTTCCGATCTGGGCGGTCCTATGCTCTGCAAATTACTTTGAGCTCTGAAATGGGCATAAGGTCCGTACCTCCCTGGATTTCAGCCTGGATGCGTTCTGTCAAATGGTGGTCGCCGAAAGGGGTATTCCCCATTTTTAGCGTCTCGCAGATGTTCACTGTATCGCAAACGAATAGGGCGCATGGACTCCCCGGCATAGACTTTGTCCCTCCCGTGTTTTTTTCCCACCGTCTGCGCTTAATTTTGTCAACCACCTTTTTTGCGTGCAATTACCTTGACGCCTAAGTGCCCGCGAGGAATATACATATATATATATATATATATATATATATATATATATATATATATTCCTATGTAGATGTAAGTCTGGTTTTCAAGGGGATTGCGCGCAAAGAAGTGGTTTACGAAATTAAGTGTAAGCTGTGTGAAAAACATGGGAGGGACAGTGTATGTCGGGGAATACCCCTTTCGATGACCTTTTTTTGCAAAACACGCTCGGGCTGAAATCCTGGGGGATATGGACCCTATGCCCCTTCTAGAGTTCAGTCATCTACAGAGCACAGGACCATATAGACATAAGAGAAGTAAATCTATTATTGTAAAAAGTCGGCGACCAAACCTTAACGTACGGAAATCATCACGGCCGATTATGCGAACATGATACGTGCTTTGATGTGTGATGTGTGCTAGCTTCAAATCGTTTGCACATATAAGTGATGCCTGACGCGTGATGCGTGATGCCTGTTTAATTGATATCGCTTACATGTATAATTGATGCGTGATGTGTGATGCCTGTTTACTTTAACTCGCTTGCAGTTTTGAATGAAGCGTGATGCGCGATGCCTCTTTATCTCAATTTGTTTGGATGTGCACGTATTGTCGCGCGTTCTAATTTTTTATATGCAGTATGTCGTGGTAATGGCTGGCAAATGCTGCTTGTTTAATTCGCTGGATGCTGGTTCCTAGAAACACTATGCCAATCTCGTGGTAAATACTGTCAGCGGTAGCCGTCAGTGATCCCAGACCCTTCTCATCGTAGACAGGATGATTTTAAATACAGCTCGGCGGTGTACGTTCCACCTGATCGTAACACAAGGGTGTCGAGGAACGAACAAGGCATAAATTCTTCATAATTTCTGCCGTGTATCCCAGAGAGAAAACAGCCCTGAAGTGCCGTCGAGCGACTCGCCAATGCCTCTCACCATGCGCACTGCTTCGAAACATCTGATTTAAATACAGACACATATGATATGACAATACGGGTAATAATAATGACACAGATGCAATTATAACTACAGATTACAAATGCTACAAAAGTTTTGTTTAACGTTCAACCACTACCTTTTGCTATACTGATGGTCTATCATTTTGCTCACAAGAACTGCCAACTCATCATCCGAAGCACCAAGACTCCAGACCTGTCTTGCTAATTAGCTTCAAAGACGTGTCAGAGCATGAGTCACGCTATGTTTAAGACGTCCCCTCCGGAAATTCGTTCGATCACCAGTCTTCCAACTTCGTCCGTCCAGTTATCGACATGCCGGTTGAGAAGGTCGTGTAAGGTCGGTTCTGCCTTTATCTATCGGTACATCACGCCAGTGTGCTAAGAAATCTCCCACAGGCTCTCTTTCGTATGTGGCGGGAGACGCCAAGCTACATACAACTGTTTTTTGTGCCTTCCGCCACGCCCAATGAACGATCAAAGATACCTACTTTCGTTAACCACAAGGGCTTAAGCTGTTAATAGGCTTTTTCCTATGAATTGCGTCATATTCTGAACGTTTCACAAAACTGCTGCCGCACATTGATTGAAGAAAGTAGTTCATCCGCAGCAAAGCGATTTTGGGAAATGAAGAAATCTTTCAAAAGTATACATTTATTATGAGCGACGCACCATGGGGGGCCAACATCCGGGAAAGCAGTTTTTGGGGACAGGTTAGGCCAACCTTATCGGGCTTTCCAGTCGGTTTTGGAGAGTGGTACCCATGGTGACCGCCATAAGACGTTCCGGCGCACAGACGGGTGACGAATGGTTCCGGTACAGTCATACGTGAAGGCCACCAGATAGTCACAATTTTCACTAACTGTAGGACTCCGTGGCGCAACGGTAGCGCGTCTGACTCCAGATCAGAAGGTTGCGTGTTCAAATCACGTCGGGGTCAGTCTCGTTTTTCAGACACGATGGCCCTTCCGTTCCCAGACCGGGTCACAGACAGTGCAGTTCTGCAAATCTGACGAACATCGCATGCTCTATCAAGGACCTTATTCGGCAGTAAGGCAGATGCCACGGAAACTATATGGGCGAAAACGCCACGGTGGCGTTTCGGCAGTACGGGTATGGCGCGTGACATTCGCTTTGGGCGGTACAACCAACAGCAGTGGGGTGCTATTTCCTATTAAATGCCTATCAAAGAGTGTTCCACATTTGTATGGTGTTTTTGCATCGTTTTTGACGTCTTTTCCTGTTCAGTTGGAAGACTTAATTCCCCTAACTTGGACTTCGGCCCATTCCCCAACTTTGAGAAGAGAGCTGGTCAAGTCCTGAGAGAGACTTGCTTAATGGCGTATTTTGTGTGCATTTTTCATTCAAGCTGTTCAGCCCCCAGCCCAGTTTGAAAAACCACGGCTATGATTTCGGCAAAGGCAGAGGCGCAGACCGCCAGATAACCGTCATCATCCACTGCCTGTGCGACTCCGTGGCGCAACGGTAGCGCGTCTGACTCCAGATCAGAAGGTTGCGTGTTCAAATCACGTCGGGGTCAGTCTGGTTTTACCTGGGCACAATGGCATCTACGTTGCGAGATCTGAGTGGTGCACCGTCAACAATGAGCTATCTCCTCAAACTGTGTACGATATTTATACCGGGAGCCTTTACACCGGGGACCTTCATACTTATCTAACGGGATTTGAGCCGTGCGCCACGCCGCGGGATGCCCTTGGTGAACGGCACAGGTGGCGGGAAGTACAGGGACCTCCACGTTTTGTCACCAATTGATCCACTCGCTGAGGATCCGACACACAGCTGTTGAAAACAGCGGACACGATTGAGACCATGAGAGATTTACAATCAGTTGTGTGTCGATTGCCACGGGCTATGCTCCACGGCTGACACATGAAGGAAGTTAGGACCTAGATGATCTTATCCGTACCCCATAGCTTGGGGCCTGGCACCTGTCTGGCTTGCAAGCGACTTTAGAGACGACTAATCCTGAAGTGATCATCGCAAACGCTTCAGAAGGAAAGGCTGCGTGTTCAAAGCCCGACTGGGGCAGCACATTTTGGTGGGGAGATCGTCTCAAATCAGCCCCCATCAAGTGTTTACCTGGCCTCGGAACAGGTCGTGCAAGGGAACGACGCCGTTAACGATTTTTAGACCAGAAGTTTGAGGGACAGTTCGACAGGGATGGCTTTGGTCAAAGACGTGCCCAAGCATGCAGCAGCGTCAGCAAGCATGGCTTGCTGCAAAAACCTTGACATGCCACCATCATAACTATGCCATCTCGAAAGAAAACTTGACTCTCTTTATCCATATCAGCTTTGAAATTCCAATGCTTTGCGAAGCCGTGAATACCCGCGTCGTGCCAATGTGATCGCCGTGGTCAATGACGAACCCATCGTCGTTGACACATCGCTGCGTCTGCTACGCCAGTACCAGACACAGCGGTGTGCCTGGTACGCCAGCCCTTATGTCTGCCTCACGACGGACAGACGGTTGGCTGTGCTCGGGGGAGGCCTGGGCGCAAAACAGGGGCAGGGAGGCGCCGTCACCTCAAATGAAAGTTTAACATCGGCCCCAAGGCTGTGCACGAAGAGAACTTGTTTCGAGATGGGGTTGGCCCCACTCTTAATGAGGATCCCACGTCCCTGGGGTGTCTGAGCATCCACCAACCGAGCAACGTGGACGGTATGTCCGATCCGCCGAAACGGAGAGGGCAGACGTCTCCAGGAGAGACAACGATACTGTGTGCAGCTGAGACAAACCTCGCCGTCCGAAGCCTACACAGCTCTCCGGTGACAGCTTATCTCCAAACCTTACACGCAGCTCAGGGACCATTCATCTGATACGGCCGCGCCCACTGGCCCATGGGTCGCTCCCCTGCGGCAACCAAGAGTTACCCGACATTCAGCACTTCAGCGAAGGCGGAGGGCCCCTCGAACATGCCGCACCAGAAGGCGCTGCGAGCGTTCACCCACCGCCAGCTCGTCGTCGATCTGGCCGCGGTCGTCGACGATCTTCTTGGAGACGGCGCTGAGCGACTCGACGTCCATCTGCAGCGCCTGGATCTTGGCGTAGGCGTCGTGTAAGGCAGCGGCGTCCTCGCGCGTCATGCCTGCCGGCGGAGACCGGACGGCGTGCCCTGAGGGCCGAGGCTGGCACGCCCGCTCGACGGGCTGAGGCACTACATCACCCGGCCTTCCAAACACGCCACAAGCGCCTCACTGTCGGCAGCACCTGACTCGCCTGAACGCCAGATAATGCGCAAGACGGCACGGAAACTGCAACAAACATCCCCAAAGAATGGTTCCGAACGGAACAGACCGGTGTTATGATGTGACAGTGGGCCTCTGACGCTGCGCGCAGCTGGGGACAGTTCTAGCGTTAGGTGGTCAGCGCTCACCGGGCTTGTTGGCAGCCGAGGAGAGGCGGCCGAGCATGCCGGCCAGCTCGCGCTCCACCCGCTCCAGCTTGTCACGGAACGAGACGACCTGGTCCCCCAGACGGTCACCGAAGTCCCGCACCTGGCACGGACACGGTTACCTCGGGTCAGCGGACACACGAGATCACCTGGTCCCCCAGACGGTCACCGAAGTCACGCACCTGGCACGGGCACGGTTACCTCGGGTCAGCGGACACACGAGATCACCTGGTCCTACACACGGCCACCGATTCCCGCACCCGGTACAGACACGGTCACCTCGAGTTAGCTGAAAGCGACGACCACAAGCGGGACACAGCGCGGAGTTTACAAAAAGATCCTCCAAAACACATCAACAGAGCTAAGCCAGAGATAAAAAAAATTGTGCATTCACTGAAGAGCTCATGATTACTCGCTTATTCAGGGTAAACCTAACCCACCAGCCTAGACAGTGGAAGAATCGCAGCTCAACCGCCTTAGTTGATCGATCTCCATGGAGACGGGTGAGCGGCAGCCGTGACGTCACCAGAGGATACGTGACGTCATCCGCCGCCTCACCTGCTCCGACTGGGAGACGAGCGCCTTCTCCAGCTGCTCCATGCGCGCCTTGTTATAGTTGAGCCAGTCGGTCAGGTGGTTGAGGTCCATCTGCGAGGGCTCGCGGAGGCTAGTGAGATTCAGCGACAGCGACGGGCCGACGAAGCTGCCCTGGCTGCTACTCCCCTGCCGGTGCAGCGAGCCTGGCCGGGCCACGGCGAAATGGCGTCACTCGGCGGGGGGGGGGGGGGGGAGAGTGGAACGGGGACCAGCCGGAGGACGCGGACAACATTACGGGGTGCGCAACACAAAGGTCACCAAGGCGGGTGAATGACGCGTGTGCGAATACTTGCCGATAGCGAAGCATATCGGCGACGAAGCATCGCCTGTATGGAAAAGGATAGTGTTTGAAAGATACTGAGGCGAAGTTTGATGACGTGTGATAAAATGCGACGCGTGGGAGGTGTGATGAAAGATACTTAGACGAAGTGTGATGACCCAATAGTGCCTACCATTACGGCTAATGTGGCTCAAACAGCAGCATCAACCGAGAACGGTTAATCCATGATGAAAATAAGACATCATCTCCGATACGGGGAGGACGCAGCAGACACCGCAGCCGAGACGAGGCACTAATTCGAGCTGACCTTCGGCCACGACGTCCAGGTCGCTCCAGCCGCCACTTTGCTCCTTCTCCGTCATGCCTGAGGTCACGTCCGGTCAGGTCACGCTCAGGTCAGGTCAGGTCACGGTCACAGCCCGCGGCTGGTTTGAACACTGCATGAGTGCACTGCCGCCATGTCAGCCGCAGAGGTGCCCCGAAGGTCAGGTCACAGTCCGATGCGGCGGGACAAGGCCCTTCCGCGCGACGGGCGGCGTTGGGCCCGGCTGGCCGTGACGCCCCAGCCGCACGGCCAGCGCGAGGACCCCGGGACGCAGGCACACAATCGCTGGTGCGCACGGACTGAGCCCTGCGCGCTCAGCCTCGGCCAGGCACCGGCTAGGACTCGGACGCGGCGGGCCGGGGTACCCAGCCGGCGCGCCATCTCGCCGGGGGCGCGGCTATTGGTCGGACGCTGCGGAGGGAGCCTTCGCGCGCCGCCCGCCAACGAAGCTGCGGTAGGCCGGCACCGCGTGACGCGCGCGATCTCACAGGCGTGACTTACTGAGCTTCATACGCAGCTCCTGGATCTGGGAGGCGGAAGCCTTCAGCAGGGTGAGCTGCTCGATCACCTTGTCGGAGAAGTTGTCTGCCGAGCCAAGTGACAGATGCGTGAGAAAAAGGGGACCTCACCATCCAGGACACAGGATCCGACCATGCGCTGATCGTCATTGTACGAGGCAACCGCTAGTGCGCGCGCGCGCGCGTGCGTGCGTGCGTGCGTGCGTGCGTGCGTGCGTGCGTGCGTGTGTGTGTGTGTGTGTGTGTGTATGTGTATGTGTGTGTGTGTGTGTGTGTGTGTGTGTGTGTGTGTGTGTGTGTGTGTGTGTGTGTGTGTGTGTGTGTGTGTGTGTGTGTGTGTGTGTGTGTGTGTGTGTGTGTGTGTGTGTGTGTGTGCATGTGTGCATGTGTGCATGCGTGCGTGCGTGCGTGCGTGCGTGCGTGCGTGCGTGCGTGCGTGCGTGCGTGCGTGCATGCGTGCATGCCTGCGTGCGGTTGTGGGTGTGTGCGTGCGGCTATGGGTGTGGGTGTGTGCGTGCGTGCGTGCGTGCGTGCGTGCGTGCATGCGTGCATGCCTGCGTGCGGTTGTGGGTGTGTGCGTGCGGCTATGGGTGTGGGTGTGTGCGTGCGGCTATAGGTGTGGGTGTGTGCGTGCGGGTGGGGGTGGGGGTATGGGTGTGGGTAGGGGTGTGCGCATGCGGGTGTGGGTGTGCGCGTGCGGGTGTGGTTGTGCACGTGTGGGTGTGGGCGTGGGTGTGTGGATGTGCACGTGTGGGTAGGGGTGTGGGTGTGCACGAATGAGTGGGGGTGTGAGTGTGAGTGTGCGTGTACGTGTGCGTGTACACGTAAGATTTCCTTTCCAAAGAGTGACGTCAGGTCCAGAAGCCAAAATGGATCCCCCACTGGACATTTTCTAAAGTCAAACGCCAAGCAGGTTTAATACGCACTCGGGTGGCAGTCAGTTTACCCCTCCCCCACCCCGAAGGTTTTTTCTTGGAATCATTTCCGAGCGGCGAATATGCCAACTCTTGTATATGTGTAGAAAGTAAGTGACGTTTTTTGTCCAAAAATTAAGTGTTTCTCATAAAGTCGGGAACGGCTAAATCTGATGCAATCTGATGAGTGTTAGACCAAGTCATATATGTCTGAGATAGTTTTCTAGGACACACAACAATAGAACGAACAAGCTCTATCTACCTAGGGTCGGCTATGAAGGTCAGAACAACGCCGAAGTCAACTTGTTATAATAGTCTGGAGCGTGCTGTGTGTGGTAGCTTATTGTGCGCATTTGGAATTTATTAATGACAGGAACCGCATAATACATCTTCCATGAACTTCTTAAACGTTCAAATAGGCCATTGCCATTGCTAAAATAAACCAGGTTAACATTTCGTCCTTCGGCAAATACCGCCTAGTGTAATCCAGGACGCTTATTCAAATGCAAAAATGAAAGCAGGATGGTATGACTTTGGTCGTCATGATCTTATAAAGGTCAAAAACATTTCAACGGCCTTACATGAGCAGCGACTTTTGCCTAGAAAATGTATCTAGATACATAGTAAATGCAAGAAAAGGGCTGGCATATTTTCGACATCAATCTAGAGAATCTAGAGTTTGACGTTGTTTCATCTTATTTGACCCATCGGTCATGACTTAGGAATTTCAAGATTTGACACAAAAGTCGGTTTACATACAGGCCAAAATTTCACTGACATTAAATGAGGACCAGCGGCTTTTCAGTTACAGACACCGAATTCACACCCTGTAAATTTGGCGCCTCTAGCTTTCTTACTTTTGAGATCTCATGGAGGCAAATTGATCCCCACCCAGGCAAAGGCCATTTAACCGGCCACCCAGGCACGTCTTGAGGCTGGGACTGAGGCCTCACCTCCTAGGGCCGCTTCCATTTGGGACACACGCTTCTCTAGAATCTTATGCTTGTCCAGCAGCTCGCTGAGGTGGGCCAGTAACCGCTTCGCCTTTGTCTCACTGTTCGACGCATCGCCACCCTGTTCGATCAGTTCCTGCGGTCGCCGACAGATGGGGTGTCATTCGGTTTCCTTGCTCACTAAAAGCGTGTAGCGTATTTGCCGCGTAATTTCTACGCCCCTCCTCCCCCCCCCCCGCCCCCCAATATGTTGCGGCGGGCATAGCCTCCTTAGCCTCCATTATCCCATCAGGTGGCGGTGGCTACATAGCTCTGTCCATGCCAGCAGATGACAAACAGGTGGCCTTCAATCTTCGGTCACGTAACCGGACCAGGGCCCACTCAGCCTTCTGCTCGCAGTTGGCTGGCGCGGTCCACCGGAGCCGGAGGCCGCAACAGTAAACCGCTCACAAGACACAGCCGCCTACAAATCAATAGACGGTATGCTGCGCGCAACTGTATGCCACTGTACGCAACTGCATGCCACTGTACGCAACTGTATGCCACTGTACGCAACTGTAGACAGGTAAGAGTGACCGATCGCGCCACCCTGGAGCTGCGCGGGGCATCTCCGAGGAGAGCGAGTCACCGCAGCCTGCGCCGGGGACCGCTGACCTGCTGCCGGGCCTCCGTCTGCTGCTGCTCCACCGCCTTCAGAGTCTCGTCGCTGAGCTGGTCCATGGCCTTGAGGTCGCCCTTGACGTCCTCCAGGGCGCCCTCCAGCCCGCTCCAGGTGACGATGCCGGCGCCGAGCGAGCGCAGGTCGTCTGAGGAGGCGGCCGGCATGCCGTCCTCCTGCACACACCGCCCGGTTATGGACGGCTAATGAGAGGGAATGTGTGCAGTGCAAGTGTCGAGCGGAGGAACGGGGGCGCGCTGGCACCGTCACCAGGTCCGACCCAAAACTTGATTGCGAACCAGCCTTCTTTACACTGGTCAGAACGCAGCGAGAAAACTTCGGATCCACTCGTTTGGCCAGGGAGCTAGTTATATGCATAGCCAGCTTGTCTTACCATTACGCTCAAACAACGGCTAGCACACGCCAGACGGACACATCACTCAGAAGACAAAATATCGCTCAGGCACACCGCTTCCTTAACGAATACACTCGCACCAGCATAATACCAAAGACCAAAGTAAGATGCAAGTACGCAAAGCAGCGAATAACTAAGTGGCGGACAATCGGTACACTCACACCAGCATAATGCCAATAATCAAAGTAATCTACAAGTACGCAAAGTAGACGATAAGTGAGTGTAGGACAATTAATGCAGAATCCGGACTTGAGCCACCAGCTCGCACCCGAAACTCGCCATTCCTAACCACATAAGTTTGCCCCCATGCTCCAACGCCCTATTCCCATCGATTCTCTGCTCGAGGTTCACCCAGCCGCTCCCGCCTCCCAGAAAAGTGATGGCGAATGATTTCAATGGACGATATTTTGTGTTCATGGCCCATGCCAAGCGTGGCTCGCTGCCTGCTCCGTGATGCCACCATCCAGCCTGCGCACTCAGCTCATGGCATAATGAATATCCGCCATATGCTCCAAATCCGACAGGGTTGCAGGGGGCTGTCCGTGGCGTGCGTACTCCGGTCCCGACTGGCGGGCCTCAGGCTGGTCCCGGTCCGGCCCGCCGAGAGCACACCTATCCTGTCCGTGGCGTGCGTACTCCGGTCCCGACTGGCGGGCCTCAGGCTGGCCCCGGTCTGGCCCGCCGAGAGCACACCTATCCTGTCCGTGCCGTGCGTACTCCGGCCCCGACTGGCGGGCCTCAGGCTGGCTCCGGTCTGGTCCCGGTCCGGCCCGCCGAGAGCACACCTATCCTGTCCGTGCCGTGCGTACTCCGGCCCCGACTGGCGGGCCTCAGGCTGGCTCCGGTCTGGTCCCGGTCCGGCCCGCCGAGAGCACACCTATCCTGTCCGTGCCGTGCGTACTCCGGCCCCGACTGGCGGGCCTCAGGCTGGCTCCGGTCTGGTCCCGGTCCGGCCCGCCGAGAGCACACCTATCCTGTCCGTGCCGTGCGTACTCCGGCCCCGACTGGCGGGCCTCAGGCTGGCTCCGGTCTGGCCCGCCGAGAGCACACCTATCCTGTCCGTGCCGTGCGTACTCCGGCCCCGACTGGCGGGCCTCAGGCTGGCCCCGGTCCGGCCCGCTGAGAGCACACCTCTCCTGTGAGTCGGCCAAAACTCGGTCACGGCCGTCCCGGCCAGATTGGTGACGTTTGACCAGCTGTCGCAGGCAGACCTTTTTGGACAGTCAGGCAGAGCCTTCGCAAAACAATGCTCCTGCAGCGCCCCTGTTTCTACCTCGAAATGGAAATCGCGTGCGCAAACTAAAACGCTAAGGCGGTCCAGACCGCTAACGGATCCAAGCGATGCCCCGTGTATCAGCCATGTTTGATTCCCCTAACACATGCCGAGCCCAGCCCCCCACGGAGCGACATCGGTGAGTCGAGGACCTGCAGACGCTGGCGGCCTCCTCGCTTGGTCTGCATTAGGTGACGTTCGTTCGCAGTCTCTCGGCTGGGACGCGCGGACATCGGCCGCGACCTCACGGCCTCAGCCGTCACTACCCACGATCCGCGTGTCCCTCAGTGTCTGCTGACCGGCCACTGCACCGGCCCCCAGGTGGCGGCTGCCTCGCGCCGCAGTGGGCGAGAAGGCGAAGGGATGTTATTACTCAGGAAAACAAGGAATCAGTGCCGAACTTCCCTCGCCCTGAAACGTCTGGTATGACACTGGTTTGCTGGACAGCATGTGCAATAGATCTGGCTGCATTGACGCCATCTTCACGCTCTTTTGTGCGCTGTTTTTCAGCAAATGAATTTCCGCAAATAAAACTACAAATCCGCCATATAATCCGACCATCGTCCTCGCCTTCGCGGTACCTTTGAGCTTTCCGAACTAAAATTCCGGAATTTCGCGACAGAATGGCGAATTTTCCGCTCATCATACATGGAGCTGAAGACAATAGTGGGTTGCAAAAAGGGTACCCTCTGTTATCATGTCAGATAATAAAAAGCCTTTTTAGGAAATGACGAGAAAAAAAGAAACACAGCAGGTAGGTTCTTAACAGCAGGATAATAATACAAATGCCATAGCCGAGCTAAAGCTGAACACAAAAAGCTACGTTGCCGTCCAACATTGTTACCGAAGTTCACCACTTTTCAGCGGGTGCCCGAATATGCCCGGCGGGCTCCCCTAGCTATACCATAGCGGTGTCCCGCGGCCGCCGCAGCCAGCACGGCTCGGCCTCCGCGCAGCAGTGCGGCCGACAGCGCCGACTGCCTACCTGCGTAACGCCCATCAAGCCGGCGATCACGTTCTTGATCTCGACGTACTTGGTCTCCATGTCGGCGAGCGAGACCGGTTTTTCACCCTTCTCGCCCGCCATTCCGAGTAGCTCCTGGCGGCGGATAGGTCAGAGTGGGGGGAGGGGGAGGGGGGTCAGGACACGGCGAGGAGTACTGACTGGGGAGCAAGGAAGGGCAGCAGTAGAGAAGACACCGCAGCAGAAGACTCCTGGAAGTCGTGGAGTCGTGGTGGGATGTTAAGACGATTTGGGGCACGATAAGGTCTCAGGCGTACTTTTAATGTCCATCTCCACAGGCCCAAGGCTATAGGCGTACTTTTAATATCCATCTTCACAGGCCCACGGCTAAAACTAAGGACGGAAAAGCAAAAGATACACACAATCGCCGCATATACTTAAAAATACCCATCGATTACCGTTTAGTATGCACTTACCTTGGGCGAAAAGGCTGCAAATTGACTGGCATGAACTACGTTATAACACAAGGGTAAACTGGCTCTCTCACAGTTGTTTTGTTCCACCCGGTCTGTAGGATTGATGCTTTCAACGCTTGGCTTGAAATGCATCGGGCCGGGCCACAACACTCGGCGAAATCCCCCATGTCTTTTCCTGGCAATACGCTTTTTCGGGCTGTTACAACGGCCCAGCGAAAGCTTTTGGGGCATCATTACTTCCAATACAAGAATCTGCGTCCGTTAGTGTGCAAACTAGCATGAGCAATCTCTTTGAACTATAAAAACCCAGACATTCTCAAAATACTATTCAGTAGCATAACGTCCGTAGCACTTTCGCAAAGCTGAAAGCAATGAAGCCTCGGAGTCTCACTGCTGCTACATTAGTGACACCGTAGTGTAGAAAGAAGGCGTCTCAAAGCAAACATGGTCCCAAATCATCCATGATGAGCCGAGGCTCCCCTGTCGCAGCTCCAGCGCCTCTGTCGCCTTACGCTCAGCTGTTTATCTAGTCGATCCGTGTGCTTCTTGACTTTCTTCAGCTTGCTCATGGTGTGCTCGATGATGCCGGTCAGCTTATCGATGCCCTCCTCGTTAGCGTCCACCTTCTTCATCAGCTGCAGCGACTGCCACAGACCTGTGATGGACAGCGCTTGTCTGGCATGGACAGAAACCGTGTAGGACGGGCACGAGTAGCCCTAATGCTTCAGTTTCGGCCCACCCGTGCCTACGTGGCCTCGGCCCATCCATGCCTCCGGTTCACAAGCCCAGGTGCACCCTAGACATGTCTGGCCTCTGTTAACAACACCATCAGCTCAAGAGGTCTGGAAGAGCGCCAGAGCTGTGCCTGCCAGGCGGGCGGCGTTCGATGCCGGGCCGGGTTCCTATCGACTGACCGCCAGACGGCCGCCGCTGCGCCACCTGGCCGTCCCGTCGGTGGCGAAGCCCCGCTCCAGCATCGAATGGCAGCCGGCCGTGGCGGTGGGAGTAAACTACGCACACGGGTTTAGGGTGCCTCCCAGCCAGAGCAGCCTGGCTATCTAGGCAGGCACCGTACTCCGAGCCACACGCGAACTCACACCCCCTTCAATGACAGGCAAGACTCCGTGGCGCAACGGTAGCGCGTCTGACTCCAGATCAGAAGGTTGCGTGTTCAAATCACGTCGGGGTCAGTATGGTTTTGCCCGCTTTTCGAAACAGAAAAGCATGGACAGGCATTTCGACATCATGCACACATCATACAGAATGCTTTCTCAGACAAATCAAACAAAATATGTACATGTCATACACGCAATTGGTTCCAAAAAAAGACACAAAACCACTCCCCTCATGAAATTATGGGCATCCATGGACAAGGCATCGCAATGTTGTTGAACAACACAGAGTGGGCATGGCCACGCACATGACACGCTCAGATACTTGGTTTGACAGCACTCCGTGACGTCACCTCTGTTAACCACCGATGACGTCACGAGCTCCAACCGTGCAAACAGACGTCAAGAAATCATAACCACCGACATGAATAGACGTTTCGGAAACTAGTTGGAGATTTCGTCCAAGCAGTAACGAGCCGGCAAACGCCCGTCGCTCTGGCTGCCCCTTGGCGTGCGAGCAAGAGAAGGGGGTGGGGGCAGACCATCCCTGGTTTTGCTTTACCCTTTGCCGGCCGGGGGTCGATTCCCACTGGGGAGTTTCGCTGATTTCCTACTTGAAATGGTTTGGAACAGGCTGTAAAATTGTGCTGACTTTCGTGACAGAATTTTCTGCGCAGCGGATGTTGTATTGAGATGTCATTTACACAGCATGCGTGGGGACGGCTCCAGGGCGTGATATTAAGAACGCACCCCAGTGTAATTTGGCGATCGTGCCAAAGGGGTGATTTCCCCGGAATGATACGCAGTGACTAGTGTGGTTGTAGGTGAACCTGAGACTGCCAGCGAGTCAGGCGGTGGCAGCCTGAGTATGGCTGTTCCAGTATAGCAAAACGAGCGTGGCAGACGCGGTCCTAGGATTCGGAACGCGAGGTTAAAAGTGTAAAGCATATCGCGTACTGGATAGGGTGGATGTGCCACGCAGGGCACAGAAGACACCCTCGGCAACAGGCAGCTGGCCGGGCGCATCGTCATAACTACGTCACGTGCATGGCGGACGTCGTTCGTCGGCCCGCAAGCCGGCCTCCGACCACACGCTTACGAAGCCGGCCATCCCTCCCACAGCTGGCGCCCGCCACCTCGACGCCGGGCGGTGGCGTCCGACTCCCCGTGACACAGCCGTATGTGGAGCCCCCCCCCCCCCCTCACCAGGGCTGAGTGACGGGCCCGGCGCGCCGCTTACCACCGACCTTGCACATCCTCCTGCGAGCCGCTCAGCGCCTGCTGGAACTCCCGCAGCTTGGGCAGCATCTCCGCCATGTCCAGCACGTCCAGCTTCTCCTCCACCTCTCCCAGCTGCAACAGGCGCGGCGACGGGTGAACGGCCGTATAAACACAACGCGGCGAACTTTATGCCGGGCACATACACGATCTCGGCTGTTCCGCACCGCTACAGTAGAGAAAGCGACGTATTGCTGGCGTCGATTGTATTCCAGGAGCGGGTGTACCCTGCACGTGGCTGTTATGTTCAGAGGTTCATCTCTGGGGAGTGCCTCCACGCGCAGAGGAGTCGTGTCGGGAACTAAACTGAGTTAACCTTGACATGCCGGCATATGCATGATGTATCATACGCATGCTGCATTGCTACCAAATGTAGGGGAAACAACTGCAAACAACTGCAAACAAAAAAAAAGGCGACACCGAGGGGAAAAGAGGAACACACAAGTATGGCAGGATGGCAGTTCAGTAGGGACGAAAGTTTCTGTGGGTTTAAGTCAGCTTCCTCAGGTCTGCCCAAAACTGGGTTACATAAGCCCGGTTTCGGGCTAGCCAACACGAGGAGTTCGATGCCACAAACATTCTGTGAACGGGTTTTATTGGTCAGCTCAAGTCACAACCGCTCAACTGTCAACTGCTGTCAACTTAACCGTTTCACTAATGCCTCGAAACGGCCCACACTACAAGTCAGCGTCAAGCGTGAAAACGTATCCTCACGCCTCCCCCCTCCTTTCACCTCGAGCGGAGTAAGACTGGCCTACTTAGCCCGCGCAGCGACCCCATAGCAGCTTTCCAAAATTCGTCCAGTAGGGTGTACAAGATGCAAATATGAATTTATCCTATTAGAATCCTGGCTCTTCGGCGACCTCCGCACGCAATTCGTCGGTGCTAATCCGTTGCCTTTGACCCCGACCTAGACATTTGACCTTTTCAGCCCGTTTGTCAAAGCTGAGGCGCATAGATACTGGTTTGACAGCCTCCCAGTTCGATGCTGATTGGCCGATTTTGGTCAGCGGGAGGGGCCACAGGCAGTGAGCCCAAAGCCGGAATATTATAGCATGAAAAATATCGACATCCCTGCCACCCAAGTGGCCGAGCACTGGAACACTGCCCCACAGCGCACACACACACCATCCCTGCCACCCCGACATTCCCTTTCAGTCGGTCCATTACGCTTTTGCACCCGCCCAAAGCAGCACTTGGCAGGGTGCCCAATGACCCGTAAAGACCCAGACCTCGCCGCGTTTCGTTTCCAGTCGGTCCGTCCCACAGGCTGCCTGGCCCCACATACGGGGAAGGTGGATACCCTGGGAACCAATACGGGCCTCTGACCGCCCCTGTTCAGCCGATCAGGAGCACCACCTCGCCCCCGGCAGCTCCTGTCCCAGTCAGCCGAGGCTCGGAAACAGCTCTGATGACCAGCAGCATCGCTTCACTCGACTGTCCCCATTTTCCAGTCGGTTGGTGCCGGTCAAAACAGCTGTGACTAGGGGTACTACCCACTCCTTTACCCCGCTTATTGCTCCAGAGAGCCGGTCATGCTGACCAGCTCCGATCGCTAACAATAACCCTCGACACGTAGGAGGTAGAGGCCCGATAATGACCCGCAGGCAAGTACCCACCCGGCAGAAGCCAGGCTATGTGGGCCGGTGGTATGTAGTAGGTAATAAGTGGGTAGAAGGCAAGTATCAAGCCAGTAGTAGGCAACCTATGTGGCCGCGGTAGCATGCAGTAGGTAGTAAGTGGGTAGAAGGCAAGCACCGACCAGGCAGTGGCCAATCTATGTGTCCCAGCAGTATGTCGTAAGCAATAAGTGAGTAGGAGGTAAGCATCAGCCTAGCCGTAAGCATGCTATGTGGCCCAATGGTATGCACTAGGTAATTAGTAGGTAGAAGGCAAGCTTTATGTCGGCTTGTCACTTTCACGCATATCGCCCGTTTGCAGAAACCACCCGAATTCGGTCGTACAGGCTGCTGCTACAAACAAAACGGTGACAGGTTACCGGCCGTAATGCCTGCGTGGAACTTTGCGGCAACTGGGCCTGGACATAACTGGAATGCCTTGTGCACCATTCCGACTTCGCCGCATGTGTGCATTTTTCGAAGGAATGCGATATTGCTGCTATCACCCGTTACAGCGACAACAGGGCTGGAAAACCATGCCGCGGGTGCATTTTACGCGTCTCTCTTCAGCGACTACGCTTCCCTCCTGCAGCAGCCGGTGGCCCTCACCCGACAGCAGGAGTACCTCCGGCATCAGCGGGTGACTGACCTTCTCCAGCAGCCGGTGACCCTCCCCCGACAGCAGGAGTACCTCCGGCATCAGCGGGTGACTGACCTTCTCCAGCAGCCGGTGACCCTCCCCCGACAGCAGGAGTACCTCTGGCGTCAGCGGGTGACTGACCTCCTCCAGCAGCCGGTGGCCCTCACTCGACAGCAGGAGAGCCTCCGGCGTCAGCGGGTGACTGACCTTCTTCTGTAGCCGGCGACCTTCACCCGACAGCAGGAGCACCTCCGGCGTCAGCAGGTGACTGACCTCCTCCAGCAGCCGGCATCCCTCACCCGACAGCAGGAGCGCCTCCGGGGTCAGCATGTGACTGACCTCCAGCAGCCGGCATCCCTCACCCGACAGCAGGAGCGCCCCCAACGTCAGCGGGTGACTGACCTTCTTCTGCAGCTTGTCGAGGCTGGTGTAATCGGCAAGCACTGCCGAGCCCTCGACACCCGAGCCGATGGAGACGGCCGACTGGCGGCCAGACTGGCGCAGCCGCTGCTCGGCCACCTCGCTCAACGTGCCGCGGCGACTGTGGCGCCGCCTCTCGCCCGTCTCCGAGTCAGAGCCGCTGCTGAGGCCGCTGGGTGGCAGCACCGACGGGGGCTGAGTCAGCCGCGGCCCCTGCCATCAGCTATGCGGAACACTCTCCTTGATATGAACAGACACCTCGAAAGGTCTCGCCGCATTGCGGGCCAATGTTTTCCAATAACAATGAGCGGTAAGATCCTGTTTCAAACAACGTAACGGTAAACAGAATCTGTCGCCCCATCTTCCGCCCCGCAACCAACAGTAACCATTGCTCTTGGCGGGTATACGCCAGTGGCCTCGCAATGGGCTTTGTACAATATGCCCACTACCAATACCCGATCAGCCCAGATCCGAGTCGACATTCACACCGATTTATGGGTCATGAAACTGAAGTCGCCGCCGGGTGGGTCCCGTTGCGCCTCACGAGCCCGGCCAGACACGCGCCCGGTAGTCGTCAGACGTCGGAGCGGCACACAAACACCCGGCCCTGGTGTATGGCCGGCAGCCGCAGCAGGATAGACACCATCAACCACGGCACAAGCCAGAAACAGGCAGTGTGGCCACACGACAGAGGCGTGCTCCCTTCAACGGCAAACCAGCTGCAATAGGCCGATTTGAAGGACAGCGAGTATGGCCACCGCACCTCTGTCATGCTGCACCCCACGACACCACAGACGGCACAGTACGTCGCACAGTTCGCGGGCCCGGGTCGCGCCTCCCTCGTCCCGCCTCGGCCGACTCACATCGAGTCTGACGAGCTGAGGCCGGCGCCGCTGGCGCGCCGCGAGGACGGGCCGTCCCGGCCGTCGTCCGGCGTGTCGGCGTCGGCGCCGTCGGCCGGCGCCGCCTCGGCCGACGAGCTGCGCCGGCCACCACTGGAGGGGCGCCGCTGGCCGCCGCTGGAGGGGCGCCGCTGACCGCCGCTGCCGCCGGCAGCGCCGTCCGCCCGCTCGGCGGAGTGCGAGCGCCCACGCCCCCCGTCCACATCCGGGCTGCCGGACGAGTCGGGCGGGCAGTGGCGGTCGCGAACATCGTCGAATTCGTCAGAGTGCTCCCCATCTGTGCCGCTACCCCGCGCGCCACCAGAGGCTCCGCCGCTGCCCGCGGCAGTGCCCGGAGCACTGCCCGGGGCAGCGCCCGGAGCGCCGCCCGCTTCGCCCGGCGCGCCGCCGGAGGCGGGCTGAGAGGCGCGCCGGCCGCTGCCCGGCGGCTCCACGGAGCTGGAGCGGCGGCGGCCGGAGCTGGAGCGGCGACGACCGGAGCTGGAGCGGCGGCGACCGGCGTCGGAGTCGTGTCGACCGGAGCTAGAGACGCCGCCACCGGGCGAAGTGCGTCGCGAGGACCCGATGGACCTGTGATGATGCCGGTGGCGGGCTGACGGCTCCCCTGCGGGCGAGACGACGGTCTGGCCAGGGGCGGCCGATTCGAAGGACGGACTGCTTTGGGTTCAATTTCTGTCACGTGCCAAAACGTTTTGGGCACGTATTTTCCTCGCTAAATCAGCTCAATGTCATTTTGCACGTAGCCATATAGCTCCCACGAAATGTCCCCCCCCCCCCCCCATCCCCACCCCACCTCAATCGTTCCGCTGGAGGACAGGAAGCTAGCGTGCGGAGCGTCCCGCCACCAACTAGCGGAGTGGTGTGCCGCCCGATCCGTCGCCTACCGGCGGGATGGTGTGCCGCCCGCCCCGCTACGTACTGCCGGAGAGGGTGTGCCGCCCGCCCGGCCACCTACCGGCGGGAGGGTGTGCCGCCCGCCCCGCCACCTACCGGTGGGTGTCCTGTGGCGTGTGAGTGGCCGCAGATCTTTCAGGCCCAGCTTCTCGGCGTTCTCCAGCTGCAAACCGAGCCGAAGGGGTCAGACGTCGCAACCGCAGTCGGAGCGGGGAGCGCGGCGGCGGCACTGACCTGGGCCCGCCGTGACACTCTTATGTCCCGTCGCTGATCGCTGCTCTTCGCGTTTAAGGGCGCGTCGGCGGCGGCGCGGAAGGCCGGCTGGCCGCAGGGCTATTCGCACCGAATGTTTACAAAGACTCAAAAGCAAACATGTGACAAGGCGCTGAGTGCGAGCATGTCAATGCCATGACCATCGGTGTCACAGTATTGCGCAGACATAAATAGCGGCCACCGAGATGCTCCTCCTGCGGAGGGACCCGAGCCCACCACCCGCCACGCCGTGCGAGTGAACTTAACGCCAACTGGCGTCGCCGCCGCCGCACACAGGATCCCACTGTTCGAGGCGCCGACCAACTTTCCTGAAGAAATCGTATGACAACAGACAAGTGAAAAGCCGGCTCCCGCTCCAATCATTCGGGACTTACGTTTGGTTATTGCTCGGGCGCTTACGTAGCTAATGCAATCATTTCAATTTTATAAATCCGCGTTGAGTGAAAATCTTACTACACATTTCCCTCGATTGAAATGTTGACCAAAACCAGGGCAAACAAACTTTTAATCTACCAGACTTACTTGACGACCGGAACTAGCAAAGCAAGGTTATTTAAGTGGTCTACAAAACTGAGCCAACTAACTAGCTTGACCCCGCTACCTTAGCTGCACCACCTAACTTAATTTGTAAGCACTTGCGACTCAGCCATCTTGTACATCGACTACCGACTTGGCTTCCGTAGCAGGTGACGACAGATGGCAGCTTCCCGTCCACTGGCGGCGGCGCCGCGTGGTCACTCACTATTTGTGCGAACACCTGGCTGGTGTCCTCGTCCAAAATGTCGGCCTTGATGTCGACCAGGTCGAGTCGCTGCACCAGCGCGTGCAGCACCGATCGCAGCAGGTTGAAGTTCACCGCCCCCGGCTGCAAGCAAACGTCCCGGGGCTCGTCACTGATCGCAGGGGAGCTCGTCAAGCGGCTTCTCGGGGTCCAGGTCGGGAGATGGTGAAGAACACGTCGTAGAGCTCAGTTAAATGAAGCCGCTGCCAGTGCAGTCTGCCAGCGCTTGGGCTCCGAAGCTCTGAAAGGGAAGCTCTGACGGACTGTGCAGAAGCGCGGCCTTCTGCAACCACGACGCCATCTATCTCGAGACCGGGCGTTCGTGGATGCCGTGCACGGTGCCCCAAAAGCACTCGTTTGACACTAACGATGGCTGTATGGCACTGCATGCAAACGGCAACGTGAAATGATTGTTCCAACGCCACAACCACAGGAACGCTTTCAAACACGCCGCCGCCCGTCGCCTACTCAAGCGATGCCGGCCACGACAACGCGCCAGCCATCACGGGCGATGCGAGCAGTTCCCGCGTCCGTGTGGGCTCTGGATGGCCGCCCGTCCATACCTCGGGCGTGCACAGCGCCAGATCCACCAGCTCCCCCAGCGAGATGACGATCTTGTTCTCGCCGGACTCGGTCGCCGCGTCCTCCTCCGACGGCTCCTCTCCGTCCATCTCGTCCTCCTTCGGCTGTGCCTTCACGTCCGGCTGCTCCTCCTTCAGCGGCTCCTCCTCGGCCTTCAGTTCGTCCGCTTTGGGCTGCTCCGTCTTCGGCTCCTCCTCCGCGTCCGGCTGCTCCGTCTTCGGCTCCTCCTCCGTGCCCGGCTGCTCCGTCTTCGGCTCCTCCGCAGCGGCCAGCTCCGCATCCGATGCCATGGCGGCTCGCTGGCGCACACGGACGCCGACGGTCATCGGGGTCACGAGGAGCCAATCAGGGGCCCGGCCAGTGCAGGCCACGCACCAATCAGGAGCAACACAAAACATTCATCCAATCCGAACCATCAGGAGCGAGCGATGGACTTGAGAACACAAAGGTGTTCCAACAGGGTACGGACCCCGGGCAGACAGTGAGCCCCTCCCTCAAGGTGCCAGAGAGCCAGGGTGGCCAGTGTGTGCGGGGGGGGGGGGAGTGAGCCGCTCAAGATTCTGACAATTCAGCGTTAGCCCTGCCGATGTTCATTGGAAAGAAAAGAAAACCAAATAGGGCTGTCGTTTCCCTCCCCTTCCCCAGCACACACACACACGCGCGCACACACACACGAGGACTCCCGCTGTCGCTGGGACCCCCAAACCACAATATTTCAAGACAGACGGGGAACGCCTCGAGCACACAGCTCAGCGGCCTCCAGAGGCGCCGCAGAACTGCCAGGGTACCCCAGCTACCGGTGACACCCGAGGCCGGCCGGATGCCAGTGAAGAGCAGCGGCGCCACTCGTGATCAGATTTGACGCCGCGCGGCGATGACGCAGCCTCCAGACGGCCCTGGCTTCACCTCTAACCACGCAGCTCCACGGTGGCATCACACGAGCTGGCGCCCTGGTGCTGGTGCTGGCCGACCTCTGAAGCTCACGGCAGCTCAGTGGTGCGGCCAAGAGTTCGCTCAGGAGGAGCCCAAATCGGTCCGCAGGAGGTCAGCCAAATTCAGTCCAGCGCACCCCTTTCCGTCGCCATAGAGGCCTCTCCGTCGCCATGATTTTCGTTTTGGAAGATATGAGAAGGCGCCGTGTCCTGTTTTGATGCCTCGGAGCCTCCTAGTTAATGTTTAAGACACCTTAAAGGCGTCTTAAACGTAATCTCAGTCTAAGTGCTTATTGTATATGATGAATCATTTCTCAGTTTTAGAAAAAAGCAAATAGATCACAATTCTGCTCTCTAAAATTTGGAACAACGCTCCACTGTTTTCCTTTTCCTGATTTTTCTTTTTGCCTCATGTAGAGGTCTTCTTTTGCGAGATCGAGACAACGCTGCGGTTTGGGAGAAGTTGGCTCCACTGCGGTCCTCCCCAAAATGGTGCATGTTAGCACTAAATAACTCGGACTCTGCACGCGGGAGGAATTAATATAGTCGTCGGCAAGGTTATAACTACCTGCTACTGTCACTGGCCCCGGGGCGGCTCCAGGACCCCTTGAAAGGCAGATCACTCGACATGCGTTCGTTAGGTCGCAAGGGGATTCAGATTCGTGCTCAGGTCCGCGACATTGACCCGCTGTTGGTCTTGCCAGTATCAGTTAATATGCAACCCGGTACCACTGCACTGCATCGACCGACCCCTGCACTCAGTGAAGTGTGGCGCATGGATAGCGCTGCTTAATCATGGTCATACCGGCCACTCTGGCTGAAGAGAGGTAACAGCAGCCGCGCGGCTACACTGACACGCATTGCTGCATCGAAGTCTTCTAGAAACTCTTGCATCATCTAGGACGAGCACGCGCGTACAGGCACAGGCGTGGTCAGTGGTTTTCAACGGGGCAGAACCAGGCGTGCCAGTCAGTGGTTTTCAACGGAACAGGACCGCGTCTCGTTGATACCACGAATCAGTCAGACGCGACCAGTCGCCGCCTAGACGTGGAACAGGTGATTCATCCTCTGACCTGTCGCTTCTTGCCTTCTTGCTGCGGGCGCACCTAGAAGACCACGTCTTGGAAGGCAGCCGCAGACTTCCCCGCGGCCAAAGAAGCGGAAAAATGAAATATTCGGGAAAACCTCATCGTTCAGTGCGTGAACGTCATGAAAACTTAGTCAAGCCCACCAGCGTGTCAGAAAAATTTGCTGATTGAGAGGGTGGGAACTGGGAGGCTTCAAGACTTATTACGCCGTCTAGAGCTCCTACATTGTTGCCGAGGGCGCTATATGTTCACTTTCCACGTCAATCTAATCGGTAAGGAGGCGTTCAAGTTTCTCTTGATTTCTCATCTGATATAAGGGTCTGCTCGCAGACCCCTGCGCAATTCTTGGGCCCGATTTGTTAACATGCAATCTTGATCGATTAGAGGCCCTCAGCGGATTTTTCCCATTTTCCCGAAAAGTTCCTTACGCTATTGCTGGAGACCCCAAGTGTCATCCTGCATGGGCTCCCTCAGCTGCTCAGGGGCCTTTCACATTGGTCTCGGTTTCTCAGGGGCCCCGGAGCGATCAAGAGTGCGCTACTGTTGGTCGCGCCGGGGTCTTCCACATTGGCCGTGAGCTCTTCAATGCACGCGCTCCATGCATGTACATACGCACCACGGGCCACGGGTTTGAGGCTGCACACAGGAAAACAATGCTCCGCAAACACGAATACCACACATCAGAATCTTATATTCCGATGGCCAAAATCGAGGACTGTTCTTATGGGGGAGGGCCTCAAAATCTAGGGGGAGGGGCTACAAAGTTGTGTGGCGCCATTAACAAAATCCTGGGTCCGCTCATCAAATAGAGGTTGGGAAGCAGGTAGTTTCTCCTTACCCTCCTCCCAAATTTGAAATCGTTCCAGCGCCCCTGGGGAAGCCACCCCACCTGCCCCTGAATAGCGGGAGGCCAGGCTGCACGGAATGCAGGTTACGCCGAATATGTCAGGCGTGGCGACAACACCATGGCAACGATTTTGGCGCATGCAAGCCATAAATCCGAGAAAGCCAGGTTTGGTGCACAATCACCATCAATTTTAGTGTTTGGAAGGCCAATTTTTCAAAGGTGATGTCGTTAAGGAAATTACATTACTCTCCAGCGGGCGGGAGTCGGACTGTGGGATGCGGGACGCCGCGGGCCGAGGCTGACCTGACCGGCACCCCGGCATGGACACCGACACAAGGCGGCGGACGGCTCCGCTGACGGCCGCCGCTGCCTGGCTGGCCGTCTGGGCCGCTCTACTGGCTCCGCCGCCGGCTCAAGGGAAATTACATTACTGGGAGACACTGTCGTTAAGGAAATTACATAGCAATAGCACGCAGAGTTGATTGAAAACTCGGTGCGAATGACGCCCTAATTTGGGCGCGTATGCCCCCCCCCCCCCAAGTTCAGCTCACAGATTGTCACGTAAGCGTCCAGCGCAGCGGTTGTATTTTTTACAAAACGGGGGGGGGGAGGGGGCGGGCGGCCGTCTGCCGCCGGACCGCAATGCTTATCACGGAGGGGTCGGTACACTGAGCATAGTAGAACCATACCTTTGGTTGTTCAATTCAATTCGAGGCAGACCAGGCTCTTGAAATCACAGCTTAGTGATCGTTGCATTGAATGTGAGTTAGCGTACGCGTTGTCGGTGCACTATATGAAGCGGCTCATTTTTTTCCTAAGCCAATTTAGTTAACATAGTCCCGAAAGTTTCAACCTAAATCCCTCCCAGTCAACTGACTACACCGCCCCCTCCCACAGTCGCGAGCCTCCCCCCTACAGTGCAAGCGCAGGGCGATTTTCTCGCTCTGGCGCACAGTGCGCCAGAAACACATTAACATGTATAAGCAAAACGTTGCCATGGAAACAACAGAGGAAATATGGAAATAGTAGTGCGTCTTCGATGCATGACTTGTGCAGTTTGCATAATTAAAACGTGTTAAAACTAAGAAACAGGAGTTTGAATAAAAGTTTTAAAGACAAAAAATGTATTTTTACTTGAACAGTTCTGTTGTAGTAAAAATGTGTGTGAAATGTGTTATCGGAACTCCTCTATCAAAGTCCCCACTTCCTTCTACATCGACAACTTACGGGGGAGCCACGTAAGTTGGCGTGCTGCGAGATTTTTGCCTTGGCATATTGGCGTGAAGGTACAGTTTGGCATGAAGCTTGTAGAAATTGGGCCTTTGGCTTTTGTTAGGCATACCTGGCTATGGATATTGAGATTCAGATTTTATTCGCATGAGCATTTGCCCCGCTCTCGGTCGCCATGGTTGATTGCCATCAGTTATCCGATAACGTACACTGGCCGGTGTGAAGAGTATATAGTTTCGATTCAACGTTGTATGAGTATTGAAGTAGTAATGGATCTTGATGTATTCATTGTTTGCATTTGTTTTTAATGATTGCCTATGGTGCAGTTGGGTAAATTGTCCAGTGCGAGGCAATCATGAGATGGAACGTACGGTTGTGAGGATTTAGAGTCCTTTTCTCCCATTGACAGTGCTGCAAGCTCATATGTATGACTGTAAGCAAAAAGTTGGTGTTTGTGATAATAAGATAATATGCAATCAAACAATAAGCAGGATTAGTAATGGGGACATACCCCAGCCTGCAGCATAAACACTCATGTTGTTGAACATTGTGTGCTATGACGGTAGGTTGGAAATATACAAAATGCAGGATTTTGCAATAGTTTGATGCTACAAAATTTTGAAATGGCAGAAATGACCAATGCTGATTTTACATGCAAGTTCCGTGATTGCAAGTTGTAGGGGCAAATGACATGCGCCATGGCCGTTGGGAATAAAAAATATGGCTGGTAATTGGATAATTGCTATTTAAAAAGGTGTGATGTTTTTCACCATGTTTGATAACCAGAATCACAGAGTCGTCCAGGGGGCCAAGGCATTGAGGATTTAGATCATCACTGCATGAGGGACCAGTAACATGCAGGATGCTGTTCCTCCTCCCCATTTTGCCCAGATTAGCGACAGTCCTGGTTCCGTGCCAACCCAGATTCTAAACACTACCAGCACACCCCTTGTTGGGTGCAGGCTGGGGCTTTGTTGGTTGGTTGGGTGCAGGCTGGGGCAACCTGTCTTCCTCTCACATCAGGTGTTACTGTGGGGATCATTTTTGGTCTGTTTAACTGCATTTAGGCAATATTTCCTCATCTGTTGTCCTGTTGTATTGATGTTTCCAGCATGGATTATGAAATATTTAAGCCCAAATGAACAAAAATGTTTTAAATTGTTACAAGGCCTGAGCCTGCAGGAACTGGCAAACAAGCAGGTGGATGCTGTCATCCTGGCACAATATCATTCTGATTTCTAATGTTGCACCATGCTGTTACCTAATAGCCTGATCCACATGTAGGTGCAGGTAATGTGACATCCAGGCTCCAGCCCTACTTCCTTTTGATTCACTTGTCTGATGTTTATCCAGGATTTGCCTGTGGGTGCAGCCAGTCTTGGGTGAGGTGATGGTAAGGGATGGGAACAATTTAGATTCTGTGAAAGTGAAAAATTCATTCAAAATGGTGATGGGAAACAGGCAGTTTATGGAACTTGACATGTCTTGGTTGCATTACAGGTTTTGACCCACCATTTTGGCTTGGTTTTTGATGAGGTTGTGATAAAGGGCCGCTGATGTGCCCTAAAGCTTGGAATCATAGTTTTCCCTAAGAAAAAGGTTTTGTGTAAAGGAGGTTAATATTTGGAAGAGTTTGGTTTGGCCATGATGTCTGCAGGAACAGTTGATTTTGTGTCAAGTTGAATGGGCACAAATAACCGGATCTTGAATAAAAGTTGTCAGGAATGGCATGAAAACTAGAATATTGGATAATTTACAGCATAATGGTGCATTTAACAAAGTCCCAAAATGCAAGTCATTTCCATGGCAAATGCCAAGTTTTCTCTGCAAAAATCAATATGAGCTGGGAAGGGATGTATGTTTTCTAGGGATGGATGCAGGAATTAGCAGCAGGCTAGAGTTGAGCCTGTTTTCACTTAGCTTATCTCTTATGGCAGAAAAGTTGATGTGATAGAAATGAAGGGGTAATTTGTGACCCAAAAAACATGGCAGTTGATAATTATGGGTGGAACTGTATTGTGGACAAGAGAATGCTTTCTTTGCCCATGTGTACCATCAGTTGCCCCCACCAAAGAGCTGACATAAACAGCCAGTTAGGTCTGATTTGCACGTGGTGACCATCATCGCCCCAAACGGGAGGTGGATGACATGCCAATTCAATTCAAGGCCGGACATTCAGCGGTGTCCTCCGGTCTCCCGGCTGTGTCGGCCGGTCTCCCGGCTGTGTCCTGTCTCCCGGCCGTGTCGGCCGGTCTCCCGGCTGTGTCCTGTCTCCCGGCCGTGTCGGCCGGTCTCCCGGCTGTGTCATGTCTCCCGGCCGTGTCGGCCGGTCTCCCGGCTGTGTCCTGTCTCCCGGCCGTGTCGGCCGGTCTCCCGGCTGTGTCCTGTCTCCCGGCTGTGTCCTGTCTCCCGGCTGTGTCGGCCGGTCTCCCGGCTGTGTCCTGTCTCCCGGCTGTGTCGGCCGGTCTCCCGGCTGTGTCGGCCGGGCTGCGCCCCTGCGCTGTCTGATCACTGGGACGTCACCTGTTGGCCAGGATATGGCGGACGCAGCTCCAGCCCGTGGCGGATTCCGGGGCGGTTTTGGCGCGCGCGGCCGCGGCCGGGGGCGCGGTCGTGGCCGCGGCCGCGGGCGCGGACGTGGCCGCGGCGGCAAGGACGAGAAGGAGTGGGTGCCCGTCACCAAGCTGGGCCGCCTGGTCAAGGATGGCAAGATCAAGATGCTGGAGGAGATCTTCCTCTTCTCGATGCCCATCAAGGAGTTCGAGATCATCGACACGTTCCTGGGCTCGGCGCTGCGCGATGACGTTCTGAAGATCATGCCGGTGCAGAAGCAGACGCGTGCCGGTCAGCGCACCCGCTTCAAGGCCTTCGTCGGTAAGCGGGCGGGCGGGCGTACGGGAGGCTGGGGGTGGGGCGGGAGCTGTGGGACGTCTCGGTGTGGGGCTTGTCGCGCTTTTTGAGATCTGTGGTGCTGCGGTGAGCTATACCCAGACATCGTTGAATTTCCCAAAGTATGTTCTGTTTGTTGTGGGTGTCCCAAGGCGCTCTTCTGCAGTCAATTGTCAAAGGTAATCACCCGTAGTTGTAGTTTTTGTATGTGCTGTCCTGCAGCTCTGGTTCTGACTGAATGTTGTGTCTGCGTGCTTACATATTCAATTCCAGCTGCGTCGCACAGGTGAACGCTTATCATGCCGGTGATCTCTAGGCTCTCCCCCTCGACTGGCGCCGCGTCTCGGATGAGTCCGTCGCTCTCCCCCGACTGGCGTCGCGCCTCTGATGAGTCCGCTCTCCCGACAGCGATCGGCGACTCCAACGGCCACATCGGCCTGGGCGTCAAGTGCTCCAAGGAGGTGGCCACGGCCATCCGGGGCGCCATCGTGCTGGCCAAGCTCTCGATCGTGCCGGTGCGGCGCGGCTACTGGGGTAAGTCAGCCGGGCACCGGCGGCGCGCGCGCGCGGCAGGCGGACAACTGCTGCGCCGGCGGAATGGTTGTCGGCGGCCTCAAGTTGTGTTACGCTGTTTGTTGATGTCAGGTTATGAATGCGAGGACTTTGGGTGGGAACTACGGTACTCTTCAAGCAGACGTCACTTAGTTTTGAGGTTTTAAAAAATGAGCTCCAGTCGCACGATTTTCTTCAACACCGGAACATATGTTTTCTAATGATATTGCCTCGGAAAAAAAAATGTTGCTTGCATCGAAAATCCGTTCGCATAACGTCATACATCGGTAAGGTCAACGCCCGACCCGGAGCCTCTCATTCTCACTGCCAGTGCTGTTGATAATAGGGGCGTGTCTTCTCAAAGAAGTTTGGCTCATGCGTACTTGCACCATCTGATGATGGCGTCAATGCCGAACGAACTGGGTTTCCGTATCCTTTATTGCATGGTGTGTATGACTTCACTAGGATACCAAACAAACGGAAAAGGCACTCCAATGCCAGCCAGAGGGGCCCTGCGCGCTGGTCAGGGGCCCTTGGGCTGACGAGGGCCTGCATGTCGGTCAGACACCACCAGTGACGCACAGTCGGCTCCCAGGCGGCATGGGCCTGAGACCCTATTACCCAGCAGGAACAAAGCCGGAGCCAGCGATTTGCATTGGTTGGGGCCCCACAGCGCCTAACGGAGGCCCTGTGCTGGCAAGAGGACCCCCGGCACGGAGCCAAACAGTCGGCTCCGTGTCGGTCTGAGCACTTGGAAACACATTTTCCAAGCCGGAACGAGGCCGGGGCCCGCGATTTGCCGTGTTCGGGGTCCCTGACATAATGAGGGGCTCCTGTATCGGTTAGGGGCCAGAGCGCCTGACAGCGGCCGTGTGGTGGCACGCGGTCCTAGTCGGCCACACCACGAGTCTGCTCCGTAAATGTCAACCCCCGTAGGCAGCTCGTCACTTTTGAGAACGCAGGCATCGTTTGATATCGCACTTGCATCATCAGCGTCGCGTGGTACAGGATTTCAGCACTATTGAAAGCGTAGCAATTATGTTATCCAGTGACGTCATCAGGGTTGTGTAATAAGGGATAAAGAAACGTTTGCGTGGCTGTGACGTCATCATCAGGTGGTACGGGTATTCATGACCCACTTTGTTGAGAAGAGGCGCTGCACCTCGATCAACAGCACTCGTGGTGCAACGACACGGGCTCGCTATTTCTGATATATGCAATATGTAAGTGGATTTAGGGTATAAATATGATCTTCCGAGACCATGTCATTCAACTAACTTATCGTCCAGTTTTCAAGGGAGTGGCATGGTTGAAGCCTGTTGTGTTTGGTTCCCGAAAACTAAGTGACGCCTACTGGGAGAGTGCTGGAATTACGTCGTCCGGCGAGCGCCGGGGCCCCGGCGTCTCAAAGCTCATGCTCGGCGCGAGTGGGTGTCGAATGTAATCAACCGCCCCGCATTGACTGCTGAGGGCGCTCATGTTCTGCTGTGCTCCGGTGGAGGGCGAGGCTGGCCCGGCCTCACCTGCCAGCTTCGGCAGCGCTCGGGTCGACGGCGTGGCCTGATGTGATGGTGGAGATCTGACGTGGAGTAGGGCGCAACCGTTCTGGTTCGAATGTAACAAATGTTCCGACGCTCTAAAACTAAGAACCTCCGCCTCTGACATTCTTGTCAGCTGTGACCTGAACAGTGTTAACTGTGACTTGGCTGGTAACCTGGCTGGTGTCCGCTGTGACTTGACCTCTGTTGACTGTGACCTGACTAGTGACCTGATGGCTGTCGGAGTCTGCTGTGATCTGACTGGTGACCTAACATCCGTCGGCTGTGACCTGACCAGTGACCTGGCCACTGTTTGCTGTGATCTGGCTGGTGACCTGATATCTGTCGGCTTTGGCCTGACTGGTGACCTGACAGATGTGAGCCCTGCACTGACCCGTGCCTCGGCCGGCAGGTAACAAGATCGGCAAGCCTCACACGGTCCCGTGCAAGGTGACCGGCAAGTGCGGCTCCGTCCAGGTGCGGCTGATCCCGGCGCCGCGCGGTACCGGCATCGTGTCGGCGCCCATCCCCAAACACCTGCTCACCATGGCCGGCATCGAGGACTGCTACACGTCCGCCCGCGGCAGCACCAGCACGCTCGGCAACTTCGGTCAGTGCCCCGCCCTTGCCGTTCTGGCGCCTGCCGCCAGGCCGCCAGGCCGTTTGGGGTGTCTTGTTTGTTTGTTTTTTCAGTCGCGGTTTCGGTCACAGGGATGTAGTTGTAATGCGCGGCGTGTTTGGAGCGACACACGCTGCGATTCTAGGCAGCATGTCTTTTGTTCTGCTGCCAGCTTTGTCCAAATTATCTTCCATGTGTGTGAAGCATTCTGACAGCTTCCCCATCGACCACCATTTCCTCAACAGGTAGGCATGGCCAAGTACTTGATGACATTGGTAACGTGTTGGATTGATCAGTGTTGCATCGGTGTCTGCAGTATCAGAATGGGCATAACGAAATTGAGCAGGAGCTCCTTCCGGACATCAAAACGCGGATAGTTTAGCCAAGGCAGCCCATTCGGCGTTGGATGCGACTTGTCCAGGTGGGCTGCCTCGGCGCTTATTGAACGCCCAGGTACGGCCTGTGACCCAGCCTCCGTTTACAGCCAAGGCGACGTATGCGGCCATCGCCAAGACGTACGGCTACCTGACGCCGGACCTGTGGAAGGAGACGGTGTTCACCATGTCGCCGATCCAGGAGTTCACAGACTACCTGGTGAAGAACCACCGGCAGGTGCAGACCACCCAGCGCGAGGAGGCCTAGGGCCGGCGAACGCGCGCGCGCCAACCGAATACAAATGTAGAGAAGTGGCGCGTGTTTCAGTTGTTGGACGGGAGGCGGAGGGCAGGCGGCGCGTCACGAGGAGGCCGGCGGAACGGATGGCCGTGGCTGAGCAGGGGGGTGGAGGGGCGCCGACGAGTCCGCCGGTACCCCGACGCTGCCGGCTGTGGGAAGGTGGAGTGGCCGGGTGCTGGGGACCACCAATAGCGCAAAGAGCCGCGAGTACTGTCGGCATCAAATACGGGAACTCGTCAATGGCGTAGACCAGACGGCAGTCGCGGGAGCGCGCGGGCTGTACAATGCCTCGTGCCTGCGACGCATGTGTGGGATCAAATTTCCAGTTTACGGAGGGCAACGCTGGGGCTGTCCAGACGCTTTGCACGGCAGCGTCATCGCAGAATGGCAGCGCTTGACCACGACGCGTGCTGGTTAGGAACACCTCGTGCCTGAAGGCCGCTGGACGCGAGGGAAAGGAGCGCCACCTATGTCGTGCGGCGATGGTCCCGCCGCCCGTCATATGCTGCGCAGGGGCCTCGTCTGGGCAGGGGTGCCTTGATGTAATCGTAGCGGACGATGGTCTCTGGATGAGCGCGTGGCGCCGTAGCATTACAGCCTGCGGAATACGATCAAGACATTGGTAGTAATGTAAGGCTTGAACACGGTCGGGGCTCATTATTTCGTTCTCCGAACATAACCGTCTCGCGAGGTCTCGGGGAGGGGGAGGGCTGCGCGGTGCTGGACAGGCGGCGGATGCCCCTGGTGCCGTGCTGCTCTTGCGGGAGCGTATACTCTGTCGCGTCACATGCAGTACGCCGATGTACGCAGTACGTCTATGGCGTATACACGCGGTAGGCTGGTGAGCTCAAGCCTTCACCTGGCGCTTACACTACCGCCGACAGGGTGCGCGCGTTTGAACCCGTCTTCCCGTCCAGATCACCACTGGCGGGATCCTGCGGCGCGCGGAAACGCAAACCTAATCTGACCGAGATGACGGTCCGTTTTCCATTTGGAAGGCCGGGTCGGCGGCGTGTTTGGACTCGCCCGTTCGCGCCTATCGACCGTCGTTCTGGCAATGTTGCCGTGCCGCTCGTCCCGTAATCATCCCCGGTCTTATTGTGGAATTCGACAGAACCCTATTTCCGTTCCGGGATCCGAAGAGAGCATCTGGCTAGCAGCCTGACGAGGCGCGCCCTGATTGGTTGGGGCCAGCGATGGGAGGCGCTCATTGGTGGTCCTCTGTGGCTGCTTCCGTTTGAGTATGCTGTGCGCCTTTGGAATTTTGTCGGCTAGCAATGGATATGGCGGGTTGCAGGTGCGCACGGAGTATGAACGGGGACGGGGCGGTATTACGATCGTGACCTACGCACCTAGACCGAGAATGTGTTAGCTTCTACTAATTTAGTTTTTTTTTTGCACGCTGCGGCTGAATAACAGCTGAGGCAGTTAGTAAGGCATCTACCATTATGTCCTCGTATGGCCACCTGTGTAGTTGTGAACGGCATTCCTGAATATTCCTAAATGATCTAGCTCTCCTTCGCTCCAAATGGGCTCCAGCCTCCCCCAACGTTGCTAACAGCCCCCCCCCCCCCGCCCATGGAGAAGGAAATGGGCCAAAGCTGGGAAGGTGCACGCATTTGGGTGCATTTGTGCAGGTACTTATACCCATTTTTCGCTGAGCCCGCACCCCACCCTCCTCTAACCCATTTTGTGAAACTACATTCCTGTCGAGGATGTTCGGAAGTTGCAAATGTGTGATTGGCAAGAAAACTTACGCCTGGGGTCAGCCGCGTCCACCGAGAGACGGACCAAGTCGAACTGCCTCCTACATTACACCCAGCTGGCAGCGGGACAGCATGCCGGCACAGTGACGTCCAATGGTAGCCCGTCGGCGAACGCCGCTGGCCGTCCCACACAAACAAGACGCGTCCACTCGTGCAGGGGCGGATCCGGAGGGAGGCACGGGTCCATGACCCCCCCCCCCCCCCTAGGCCCCAATGGGGCCCATAGGCTCCCAGGGGGCCATAGCCGGTCGAACAGACGCAGTTTTATTTACTCAAAACAACAACAAAACAAAATTGGACGTCTTTGGACTTCCAGGCGACCAAGAACAGTCGCAAGCCAAGGCGAAGTGCTCACGTGTAGGCAAAATTTGTTTTTCGGTGATAGAGAGGGTGGTGATTGGAAGCTTTTAATGCTCGTTACGCTGCCTAGAGACCCTGCGCTGTTTTCGGGGGCCCGACACGTCCACTTGCAGGGACAATCAGATAGCTGAGGAGCCTTTTATGTTGCCCTTGGTCTCTTTGCATTCGCTCGGAGGACCCTCAGCTGTTGCCCTTTTTGCTGGCATGCCCGGGCGCTCTTGTCAGTCAGGGGCTTTCCACTGACTTGTCTACGCTCGCCCGAAAGGTGCTGTGCGCTATAGCCGCGGGGCCCATTTGATAATGCTCACAATATGCCCATGGGCCCTCGTCTTTGGTCTAAGGCCCTTCCAATTATTTGTCACTTGCTTAGGGCCCTCCATGCTGGGTTTTGGTACTTCTTACATGAATGGAGGGCCTTACGCTCTTGTCGGGGCCCCATAGGATAACCTGCTCGGGCACACTCGGTCGTTTGGGGGCCCTGTGCATGGGTCTCGGGTGGACTTACCATCTGAATGGAGAGTCCTGCGATCTTATCGGGGGTCCACCTGTTCACGTGCTCCGGCCCACTCGACCGTTCGGGGCCCTCCACATTGTGTTGTGTTTCTTATTTGAATGGAGGGCCCATTCTCTTGTCGGGCGCCCCATCCGTTACCCTGCTTGGACACAACCATTTGTTCAGGGGTTCTCAACATTGTGCCTTTGGTGGTACTTTCTATTTAAATGGAGGGCCCTACGCAGCTGTTTGGGGCCCCCCATCTGCTCACCTTCTCGGGTGCGACGAATTGTTTGTGACCCTGTACGTTGAGCTTTGGCATTTGAATATAAGGCCCTACGCTCCCGTCGGGGGCCATCTGATTACATGCTCGGATACACTCGATCTTTCGGGGGCCCTCCACACTGGGTCTTGGGCACTTCCCATTTGAATGGAGGGCCCTACGCCCCCCTCGTCGGGGGCTCTGTGCGCTGTGCTACGTACTGACCAGAGCCGGCTCAGGCTTCTCAGGTGCTCCGTGCTCCGTAGTGACCAGAGCCGGCTCAGGCTCCTCAGATACTCCGTGCCACGTAGTGACCAGAGCCGGCTCAGTCTCTTCAGGTGCTCCGTGCCCCGTACTGACCCGAGCCGTCTCAGGCTCCTCAGATACTCTGTGCCCCGTGCTGACCTGAGCCGTCTCAGGCTCCTCAGGTACTCTGTGCCCCGTGCTGACCAGAGCCGTCTCAGGCTCTTCAGGTGCTCTGTGCCCCGTGCTGACCAGAGCCGTCTCAGGCTCCTCAGATACTCTGTGCCCCGTGCTGACCTGAGCCGTCTCAGGCTCCTCAGGTACTCTGTGCCCCGTGCTGACCAGAGCCGGCTCAGGCTCTTCAGGTGCTCTGTGCCCCGTACTGACAGCCGAGAGCCCGCGTTCCACCCGGCCACGAGGCGACAGGGTTTGTAAGTGGATGCTTCCAGTCGGTTTCATCGCCGACCAAAGTCAGCGGCTGGGAACTGAAGCGGGTCTCGGTTCTCCAGCGGAGCGCGCGTGAGGCACCGCATGCCTCGGGACCTCCTAATCCACCCCCCCCCCCCCCCCACCCCCCCCCCCCATCGGCGGAGCGCACCCGCCGCTTCTAAGGGCTGCCCCTCCCCCCGCCCCCTGCCCATGGTGACTGCAGCACGATGAACCTCCGCTCTGGAGCGGCCTGTCAACAATGTTTCTGCATCAGCGCGCCGTCGCCCCTCAAAGTCGTGGTGATGTCCGAATGGATAACAGGCGACACCCCTCATCCCACCGCAGACCGCCTCAGAGCCGTCCAGAGCTCCGATTGAGACACAGGTCCGCCAAGAGCTCCGGTGGAGACACGGGCCCTTGACTTATCGCTGCGTTATGCTGTTACACCGGTCTGTCGCATGCCATGTGCCCCTGGCAACACCGACGTTTCACTCCAAACAGTGGAGGCCCACGATTTAGTGCGGCCCTCTGACAGCAGTGATGGCCGAAGCCATACCTGCATGGCCCATCAGCTGATGCCTGCCTCTCACGCCACCCGTTCCCTGAGCAGGATTGCGGGCGGCCCTCTGACGGCAGTGATGGCCGAAGCCACACCTGCATGGCCCATCAGCTGATGCCGGCCTCTCATGCCACCCGTCCCTTGGGCAGCATTACGGCTCCAATAGGACACCATTCTCCAGTCGTCGCCATCATGCGCGCTGTTCTGTCGCGCAGAGACCTGTGATGCCACCTTTTCCATCAGGTACAACTACTTGCTGCTCAAACACGGGACCCTCTAGCAGAGGGAAGGTACCTTTGGGAGGCTACCTTTGACGCAGTGTAACCAAGCGAGGGGCTTCTTTCCCAACGAAATCACTGTGCACAACGAAGGTGGAGCGGTTGACAGTGTTCAAAAATGCGTAGCGTAATTTATTAGTTTTCCCAAAGCCCTACATTAGGCTTTGTCCATTCACGATTGCGTTATCGATATTAGGTACATACGATCCTATATTTTCGGCTTCGACAAATTGGACATGTGACGACGTTCAACAGAGAGCTTTTGCAGATCCTTGTCACACACACACACACACACACACAACACACACACACACACACACCTGTTACGCTGTTAAACAATCGGTTACACACACCACCCCCACCCCCTACCCCCCCCCACACACACCACCCCCCCCCCCCCCACACACCCACACCACGCAAGCTCCACACACACACACCACCCCCCCCCCCACACCCACACACACGCACGCACGCACGCACGCACACGTTTCATGTTCAAGAGCTGTAATAGCCAGTGACGCCAGGGCACCCGTTAACACCAGCTGAACCGATGAGCTGGAGGAACCGGTACTTGTAGCGGAGAACCGGCACCAGTACCTGTGGCCGGTACCGGTCGGTGCTCGG